TCTAGAGCGGTTAGGAAAATCCCTTCATTCTCGGGGCCCAAAAGGCCCATGAACGACATGCCATAAAACCCAAAACCCTAGAGCTAGGAAGACAGATTTACACTTTTGAATGCTCTGGCTTTGTGGCTTGACCTAGGTAAAACCCTAGCGCACCCCGTGACCGGAACAATTTCTTTTATGATTTTTAAATACTTTAATTAATATCTATGAGGATCTATATCCTTTCTGATATAAATGAGAATGGGAACTTGAGAAGCACTACCGCTCCGTCTCATATGCATTCATATTTATAACTCATTTGTGCAAAATATTCTCTTATAATTAATGATTTTAATATAGAAAAATGATTTCCGCATATGTTTGTGCACATGTGATGTCACACGCACACCCACACATACGTAACAAAATGAAAGTAAAAAGTATGAATAAAAATTGTTTTTAACGCAGTAGAAAATATTTTCAACATATTAGGAAATTAATTTCTTTCAAAATGTAAAAACACACACTTGTGAATGAAAAGAAGACTTTCATGGAGCAAATCATGTAGAAGAAACGCACACTTAAGGGCAAGTGATAAATGAATATAAAATTTTTTTTCTTTAACCTTATTAATTAAAAAAGGTTAAAGAAAAAAAGTGTCCATTGTCTAATGGATAGGACAAACATCTTTTAAATTTTAGATATAGGTTTTATACCAGATAAGTATAAGAGGAAGGTCGAAGACTTCTCAGCATAATTGTACAAATATGAAATAAGTTAAGGAGTCATCGACTCTTTATAATGGTTCACACAACCTAACATATTAACACTAATGAATCTCATTATGAGCCTACTTATGGGCCTAAGCTCATTAAGGTTAATATACATAAGGATGATTAGTGAAGAAAAAGGTACAATTTTATAATTACCAAGATTGATTAGCATTGATCACTCTGACTCCGATGACTAATTTGAGCGTTGAAGTGTCTTTTGCAGGTATTCTCCTCTTCCCTAGGACAAACATATGGTGGATGAAGACTCGGGAAATGCAACAAAATTACTTATGCAGGTACAAGTTCAAATCCTATTGGATGCAAATTGATTTACAAACTTTCAACCATATATAGATGGATAGATATTTTTTTTATACATATATACAATGTATATATTGTTCTTCTATTTTTTTTATTCTATTTATATTTGAATTCATTTTATTAATTATACTCAAATGAAATAGAACGATATTAAAGGATACTAATTATAAAAAAAATTGAAAAGTTAAATAAGGATCCAATGAGATTATTCCTTGTATCGAAAAGTCTTTCTAATGGTGTGGAAGACGTGTCCTATTGATGTGCAATGACAATGCAAGTAAGCCACTTTTAAATACTCATGAATAAAAATAAATAAATAGATAAATAAATAAAAATAAAAAATAAAAAACTTACGTTTGAGGAGGGAGCAAACCATGTGAAAGAGACTCAACTTGAGGGAAAGTGTTGGAGTTGGAGTTGAAGTGTGAAGTAAATCTCACATCGTTTATAGTTGAGCATGTTATTAAGTAATATATAAGTAAAAACGACCGACATATCTAATATCTTAAGATTTTAAGTTACATTGTAGTGTGAAACTCATTTATGAAATTTATTCACTACTCATTAAAATGTGCCCTAATATTTAATTTCATGACCTAATAAGACAGATATATAATATAAAATATATATATATATATAATTATGTATTTAAATTTTAATTATGTGGATGTGAATTAATTGTATATAATAGTTATATATGTAAGATGACTTTTTTTTTTGGTAGAAAAGTGATGTAAATGAGTTTAGCTATTTATAAATTATTTGAATTTTAATAAATAATAAGTTCAAACGTAATTTTAGATTCGATTATAAAATTTGCAAAAAAACAAAAATCGATTATAATCAATCTCTTTTGTAGACTTAATGACTAGTGAATAACTGGTGTTAGTTGTGTATTTAGTATAATGATAAAACATGCACTATAACGGCTTTATCCAACTTGATATCTGACTGAAGCAAAGTTATGGAGTCGTAAACTTAAGTCACTTGACACCTAATGTTTTAATACCTAATAGTATCTTGTCATTCGACACCTCCACGTAGCGGTAGCATAAACTGAATTTAATTTAATTTATTTTATTGCCTTTAAAGATCCTTAGAGCATCCTCACCGAAAATTCTTAACTCACATTTATCTTGGAAAGAACCGATTCTAAAAAGAACCTAAATATCTACCCTTGCAGCCAAATTTTGTTAATACCGGTTATGCACCGGATGCTTGTAGTAGCATTCGTGCTTAATGCGTGCATGGCAACGAGGTGGGGTAACTAAAATTTGGGTATTTATTTTTATCTTTAGCGAGGTTTGGATTTTCTTATCCATTTTTACATATAAATAATTTTAGTTTTAGTTTATATATATATATAAATAATTTTTTAATTATATTATTAAACGGGACAGTGGCGAATATTAACATTTTCGTCCTCGTCCTTGTTCTCAATTGAAAAAAAATCGAACTCAATAAACACGAGTTTTCTTCGTCTAAATCAGGGCAGGATCCACAAGAACGAGTTAAATTGTCATGCCTAGGATTCAATGATAATATTTTTAATATTTATATAGTAAAAGAAGTAAAATTAAATGTATCCAAAGATAAAAATAATATTAATAAAATATATAATAGAGAGACCTAGTTGAAATATATAAAAATAAAATAAAAGAGAAATGTTAGATTTAAGAGATAAGTTGCCTACATTATAAAATATGAAAAATAAATTATGTATATAGAGAAATAAAAGTCATTTTTAGGATTTAGAGAGAATTGCTCAATTGTGAATGCTTTTGAAAGCACTGTTGACACACGCAATGAATCAATAATTCTATCAAAGGAATTAGGAAAGGTTGAGATTTTATTTAATAATAAATTTAAATAAATTTTAAATCATAATTATTAAATATATTATATTATTTACCTAACCTATAAATACTTTCTTAAAATCATTAAATTATTGACAATATAAAATATGTGTCGTTTTTTAATCAATCTTTCAATGTGATCCTATAATAAATATAATTTATTATAAAATATCTTTTAAGGAGTCAAGAGAAAAAGGGAGGGCCTTGGCCCAGGTATGAGGTACCCCCCTTGTATCCACTCTTGTTGACACTACCATGAAATTCTACTAAAGACATCTCTTCTTATTCACCTCGAAAAACATATATTAATAAAAATAAATTTAAGAATATGTTAGCAACGCACATGTTAATTTATAGATTAATTGGTTAAAGGATTTATTCTTACGTCAGCAATGGTAGGATAGTTTGCGATATCATATATATGAAGTTGAATTGAATGCAATGTTGGTGGCGCTGTAGATGACAGAAGTAATTCCAGGAGCAGTGTTCGTTGTTGGGCAGCCTTGAACATGAGTAGCTCAGCTATTCAATTCAATGTCTGCCCTCTGCCCAATAACACCACTTCTCTCCTCAACTTGCTACCCATGGCCATGCTAAATAATTGCCTCACTTCAACTCATTTTTTTATCCTCCTTCACAAGGACTAAGTTTTAATTTCCCTGCCCTACACTATAGCCTTGTTTGATTGTAAGGAGAGAAATAGGAGAAGAAAAAATAAATAAGTAGAAATAGATAATAATAAATAAGATAAAATTAAAATTATTTAATTTGAAAAAAATGAGTAAAATAATATAAGAAAAATAATATTATAAAATTATTTAATTTAAATAGATGGAGAACAAAATAATTATAATCAATAAAAAAATTATAATATTAATATTTTCTTAAGTATCAATAAAATTGTTGTTTATTTGAATAAATATGTTTATTCGAATAAAACAATTTCGATTGATAAAATATACACATATTCAAATAGATTGTCCATGTATTCAAATATTAGACAAATCATTTGAATAAAATATACACATATCACATATTCAAATAAAGGGATCTACGTATTCAAATAGATATAAGTCATTTGAAAAAAAGAATCCACCTATTCGAATGAAGTTGGTTCATTCAAATATAATGTCTAGTTATTTCAATAAAATACCATGTGTTTCAATAGCTATTGAGAATGTAAAAAGACCACATTCACAACCATAAAACCATTAGAGATTAGATTAGCAAGGTGTTACATAGATGAGAAAAAGACAGCTAGAAGTTTCTCTAGTCAAGTATTAAAATGAAATTATTTATCATTTTCATATATTCAAATGATAGAGAATAACAGAGTAAGGATAATAGTATAAAAATAATCTCTCTTCCTATTTTTACTCATTTTTGCGAAGAAATTTATAGACATAGGTTCCACATCTATAAAAAAAATTATGTATTAATTTGTAGAATTGTATTGATTATTCGTTCTTCCTGATTTTATATGTGTTTGCTTTGATTCGTAATTATACAAAATTCTCAACTAAGAAGTTCTATCTCAATTAGTAGTTCAGAGTACATAAATTATAATAAATTTCTTTGATGTGGTGTATGATTTTCATGAATAAAAGAAAATATAATATTTTCAAGTTTAACTAAAGTCACTATCAAAATAATATTTCATTAACAAAAATCATACTCTTTAAATACATATTAGTTCTTAATTATTAATTTTAAAAATATTATATGTCATTTAAAAAAATGACAGTCATTACAATGTAGAAAAACCGGAAAAACATTCATTTAGCATCGTAGTATAAAAGCATTATTTAGCATTGTAGTATAAATCTAAAATTGAATATACAATCATGAGTTATCGCCAAATTAATTAAGTGATTAATGTTGGAAACTAAAAAGTTGAAAAAGAAATATTACCTACTCATATGATTGGAAAGTAGGTAAGTGTTTTTTTTAATATATCGTAAATTGACCAATTAGAAAGTGGATATATGTCTTTTTTTCATCATAAATTAACTAAAATTGAGAATGCTCAACGACCATGTTTTTTGCGACTTTTTTTTTAATATACCATTTTTTTTAATTATTTAAAACTTAAACTCATTTATATTTATGTAAATATACCATTTAAAAATTTAAGTGAGAAATCGGTTATCCAGTAATCGATTTTTCAATAGGCCTTTTTTTTTCTTTTCTGTTTTGTGTTTTTTTTTAATTTTTTTTCCAGATTTGTTATTTTTTTTGTTTTTCAGTTTATAATATTTAGATTGTAAAAAAAAATAAAATGAAATTTTAAAAAATTTATTTAGTTTTTGTTTTTATTTTAGATTATAAAAATGTATTTAAAATAAATTTTGAAGAATAAAATTGAATAAAATTAATTTTAAATAAAATTTTTAAAAATGAAAATATTATGATATATCACAACTTTAGATAAAAACAACATTAATTGAGATGAACAACTTGAAATAAAAACAAAATACAACAATAAAATAAGAGATCGAATAAAAAAGAATAACAACAGAATTACAATCCAGTAAATTACAATCCAACTTTAATGATGTCTATGCCCACTCGTTCCACACCTCGGAAGTTGTCGGTTCGTTGTTGGGTTTCGACGACCAATGCGTGGTTGTTGTGGTTCAACTTGGTCCTTGTCATGTTCTATATTAACAGTGTCGGTGACTGGATTTGACGAACCACTTCCACCGACCTTAGAGTGATAAGATGAAAATGAAGGGAAATTCATGCTTTGCATGTAATTATATGCACTTTGTGGCATGTGTACGTCGACGCCAAAAAGATTGCTCATGAAGTCCCCTGTTAGAGTTGTTGTTGATGGTGGTGTGTACATGAATTGTTCATGGTACGTATGAAATGATGGATAAGACTAGGGATGTTGTTCCACACTCTAAGGTGGGTGATTATCTCCAGCCACTGGGAATGTTGTTGCAGTTGTTGTTGGGAGTTGCGTACTAGAAGTGGATGCATGAGATGAAGAATACTGGCTACAAAGAAATAATTTAGAATTCGCATGAAACCATTGTAAATACTTCGGAGTGTGTTGGAGAGGCCCCTAAAGTGGTTCCCCAAAAATAACATGTTTGCGTCTGTCTTTCCAAATGGAAATCCAGTCTGCATGTTGTTCAGCCCAGTTGGTGTTGCTATGTCCTCTCATGTCTATTTCGTGCATTTTATCAAGATTATGAGCTTCATTGGGGATTGGTTGCCATAAGCCAAATTGCAATTGGACTCTATCAGTTTGATGCTAGATTACAACTTTAAATGAAGTTAAAGCAGTACAAGCAGTCCATATTCTAGAATACTTATAAGCACGTGTTGGCAGTGAGGACTGAAATTCCCTATATGGCATTCATAGAAACTGAAAAAGAAAAAGGTTTAAGGTATGAATCAATTGAGTATAAGAGAGTATGTTTGAGAGAAGTTTACATTGTATTACCTCGTTATGGTTCATGTTGTCATATCTTAATCTGTAGTCAAGTAAGTCTCCAAGGGGTGTGCCTGAAAATCTTAGCCCTCTTCTTGACCACCTAAAACATTTGTACATTGATAAAATTTTAGGTAAAATATTTTAGTTGTTCGATGTATTAAAGTGGTATAAAAATTAATCCATACCTCAATGCTAGCGGAAATGTAATATCTCGTTGGACTCTTGGTTGGATGTAACATTTTAGTCTTGGGCATGCGATACCAAGCCCAAGACTGTAGAAGCAAAGAACATCCACCCATTTTCTTTGATGATGGATAGATTGCCCTACATATTTCTCTATACAAATGTGCCAAACAAGCAAAACCCCAACTATATCGTCCTGCACGTTCCAAGTTAGCCAATAATGGTAAATACATTAAGTGAATTTTGTTACCTGACTTGTTTGGCATAATGACACCACCGATCAACCCTAAGATATATGCTTTACAATGTTAGAGCAATTGTTGTTCATTGGGTTCATCTGGTAGTGCAATTGTATGGTCTCTTAAACATTTTAATTTTATGCATGAGCCAACTAGAGCTTCCCTTTTCGGAGGTACGAAGCCTAACAACTCGTAACACAATTCATCCCACATTCAGTTGAAAGCTAAGATCCAAAGAAGACTAAGCTTACCACAACCACATTCAGTTGATCAACTTTACTTTCGGTATCCACAAGTGGTAGGCGAAGGAATGCTTCATTTCCGGGCTGTCAAGCTTATTGACGATGAAGACGTTCATGGTATGATTCAAATGGTTCGCTCCCTTAAACATCTTACTTCTGCTCAACTATATGCAGATTTCACACCAATTATTTTTGAAGAAGAAAACCAACCTTCTACTTATGAAAATCGATCTTCTATCTATCAAAACCAACCTTCTTCTTCCTATCATAACCAACCTTTTTCCTATGAAAACCAACCTTCTTTCTATGAAACTCAGCCTTCTTCCTATCACAACCAACCTTCTTCCTATCGCAAGGAACCTTCTTCCCGTGAAAACCAACCTTTTTATCATGAAAACCAACTATCATTAGACGATTTTCATACACATGGATCCTTTACCAACCTCCTTACATCTGGAGTCCAACAAGAAGAACAACAGGAAGGAGTCCCTGAAGTTGGAGTTCCTGAAGAAGAAGTTGGTCCTTTTAGTGAGGGGGAAGATGATGCAAGACTCCAACAAGATGATGAACAAGATGAACAAGATCGTCTTGAACAACAATCTCAGCACGTAAGCACATTCAGTTTTCCTTCACACATGCATAATGTTGATTTGCAAACAGATTTCACCGACCCAGAGTATAGACATGCATTTGACCATGTTGGCGTCGAGTACTCTTCTGACAGTCTATTTCAAGGCATGACTTTCAACACAAAGGAGGAAGTCCAACATGTTCTAAATGCATACCATATAAAGAAAGGTTTGTATTACAGGGTGGAGAAATCGTCACCAACATTAATTATTGCACGCTGTGTTAACAGTACATGTGATTGGAGGCGCAGAGCGGCTTTTATTACTAAAAGCCAAAAATGGGAGCTTCATAAGCTAACAGGTGAACATTCTTGTTCATCACCTATTATTACACAAGATCATTTTAACCTTGGGTATGTATATATTAGCAAAAGTATTCTTCCTTTGGTGGAGAGTGATCCATCCATTTCTATTCCAACAATAATAGCACACATCAAAAGTGCTGAATGGTACACGATCTCATATCGCAAAGCTTGGATGGCAAAGCAAAAGGAAATTGAAGACTTACATAGCAACTAGGAACAATCTTACCATGATTTACCCAAGTTTCTCAATGCCATAAGTGGATTTCTTAATGGATTTAGGCCAGTATACAACCAACAAGGTGAGATGGTTCATCATTATGTTCAATTCCATAGAGTATTTTGGACATTTAAACCTTGTATCGATGGGTTCAAATACTGCAAGCCCAATGTTCAAGTTGATGGCACATTCTTGTATGGCAACTACAAAGGAACTCTCCTTGTGGTCGTGGCTCAAGACGGTAACAACAAAATCTTTCCAATTGCCTTTGCAATTGTTGAGGGTGAAACAACAGAAACATGGTTTTTCTTTGTACATTATCTCAAAAGACATGTTTGCCCTCAAGATGGCCTTTGCTTAATTTTGGACAGGCCCGAGTCTATCAAAAATGCCTACGCTAGACAGGGCAGTGGTTGGACACCCGATAATTCAGTGCATGTGTTCTGTATTCGCCATATAGCTCAAAACTTCATGAGGCATTTCAAGAATACAGAACGAAAAAAATTAATCTTCAATATGGGAATGTACTTAGCATCATTAATTACTTTAATTTGTTTCACCATATTTCAACATTACTAAATTGTTCATTTTTTCCTAATCTGATTTCACAGCATATAGGATGACTGAGCCAAGATTCAATTACTACTACAACATGCTAAGGAGCGAACCAGAAACTGAAGGTGTAATTGAAGGGCTCAACACCATACCAAAAGAACAATGGACTCTTGCATGGGACGGTGGCCGACGATGGGGACACATGACTACCAACTTGGCTGAGGCAATTAACTCCATTCTTAAAAAAACAAGAAATTTGCCAATTTCTGCAATCATCATGTCGACTTATAAGAGATGTAATGCCTTATTCATCCAAAGGGGGAAGGAAGTCGATGCTAAACTTAGGGCTGGCCAAGTTTATACGGAAATAATGAATAGGGCCATGAGAGATGCAGAATCAAAGGCTAATAGTCATCATGTCCTCGAATTTGATCGTCACAGTACACGTTTTCTGGTGCAAGAGACCATTAACCCAAGGGAAACACGACCTACTGGAACTTTCACGGTTAGACTACATGACAAGTGGTGTGACTGTGGAAAATTCCAAAAGCTACACATGCCATGCTCCCATGTTGTTGTTGCATGTAAGCATGTTCACCACGATTATAAATCTTACATAGATCCGGTATACACATTACAATATGTTTCAAATGTGTATAACGAATTATTTGGTGAACTGCCCAATGAATCTTATTGGCTGGATTGTGAAGAACTGCAAATCATACCAAATCTAGAAAAGATTAGAAATAAAAAAGGTCGTCCAAAGTCATTCAGAATACACACTGAAATGGATATGGTTGAACCAGGACAACCAAGGAGATGTTTTCCCTGCAGAAATGTAGGTCACTCAAAGAAGAAATGTCCTTATCGTCAAGGGAGTTCAAGTCACCAAACTTAAAATATTATCAAACCTTCCAAATATTGTATTTTGTTTACTATTATTTTAAATAAATATTTTGTCTATTTTTTTTAAATTTTAATTAATATTTTTCATTATTTATTTAGTTAATAATTATTTCATTATTTATTCTTATTCTAAAAACTTAACTAAATTATTTTATTTAAAAATACTAAAAAAATTTAAAAAACTGAAAATTTAAAATTAAAATACTAAAATAAGAAAATTAGAAATCTGGAAAAAGAAATTCAAAAAACAAAAAAACAAAAAAAAATACAAAAAAAAGCCTATTGAGAAATCGGTTACTGGGTAACTGATTTCTCAAAAGAATTTTTAAAAAATTTTCAAAAATATTTTTGAAAAATCGGTTACCCAATAACCGATTTTTCACCTAAATTTCTAAATGGTATATTTACATAAATATAAATGAGTTTAGGTTATTTAAATAATAAAAAAATGGTATATTAAAAAAAAAGTCGTTTTTCGCTCTATTTGTTACGTTTGATTTAACAAGGAAATTGGTAAGAAAAGAGAGATGAATTTGTTAAGTTTGGTTGCTCAAATAAATAAAATTGATCCCCGCATGTTTTAATTTTTTTGTGTGGAAAATACAGCAAAATTAGTCAGCTCATAAACCCAAAAATCCATTAACAAAAAATATCCTGAAAATATTTCACTACACTGTCATTTTAATTAATTAAACTTCAAAAATAATTGATTAAACGATTTTAACATGTGAATTAATTAATGGTAGTATGAACTCCACTTTAATCAATTAAAATGTAACAATATTAATTAAATAACATGTCATTACCATAGCCACCATTTTTATCGATTAAATATATCTTGTAAGTATAAAAGTAGAATATACGATATCTTATAATTTCTTTTTTTTTTTTTTCATTTCATTTAAACTTAATAACTTGTCAATATTATTTTTCTTCTCTCACTAGTTCCACTTAAATCAAGCAATTCAGCGTTCATTATGTTTTTTTGACTCGTATTCTATTACTATATTTTTTCCCGTTACTAAATGGAGTATTAGTGCTCTTCCATGATCATATTATTATATTTATTATTTTACATAAAATAAAATATAAAATTTTATTCCACACTACGTACTTAGTTGTTTTTGGTTTCGTTTTGTATTGCAGGTATGAAAATGGTTGAATACGAGAAATGAGGACAAGCTCCAAGCATGTGCTGCTGAATTTGACCAATGAAAGTTTAAGCCAATAAATAGGCAAACTTTGTGTGAAACCATACGAGATTCATTAAGCACATGGCGACCGAATATTATTGTTTTAATATTTTGATCATGTCAATGAGCGTCACCCCGGTTGAAAATGAAATACAAGGCTTGAAAACGTAGTGTCTGTCTTCCAATTCCTAACATCACCCTAATTTTAAAGAAAACAAAGGCACTCCGACGGCACACACAACCCAACTCGACAATATTATTAAAAGCAAAAGAAGACACGAAAACAAGGGAGGCCAACTAATCAAACACTCCACTCTAAATATCTTTCTATGCCTTGTGAATGAATTTCGCACCCAACATGCAACTTACAACAGTTATGTTAGTCAACAATATTGCGCAAGCCATTCACATATTCGCCGGAATTATCAAGAATGTAATGGCCTCGACAGGGAAATTTTAAAGACTTTTCACATTCATATACATATATTTTCTCAAAGTCAAATTCAGCTAACTTACATTACCCCAGCTGTACAACAAGGAACACACTGTTCCACACTATCCGTTCAAATTTAATATTGAAATAAATGACCCTCAGAAAAGAGAAAAAAAGAAAGAAAAAAAAACCTGCCCCCATGTTATGTATGGAGTCTTAATTAAAAGCTGGATCCAAAATAATTAATAATTAAAGAAAAGAAAATTGATAGGGGAAGTGAGAGTGTTGGGTATATATTAGAAAGATCCCGAGAGAGGTTAGAATCTATAATCTAAATCCTTTGGAAAAGAAAAAGAAATAGGAAAGAGAGGAGACAGAACACAGAAGGGAGGCAAAATCATAATATCCTAATCCAAAGCGTTACTATATAAACGATAGTGAAGAGGGAAGAGGGAAGAAGGAGAATGGAAACGGAGGGGGAAAGACCCCCACTTCCGCAACACGAAGGCCACACAAAGCCCCTCTCAAGGCTCAACAACTACGTCGCCAAAAGCAGAGTAGGGAAATGGTTCAAGCTATCCCACCGGAACTCCACCTTCACCACGGAGCTCCGCGCGGGCACCGCCACCTTCCTGACCATGGCCTACATACTGGCCGTGAACGCCTCCATCCTGGCAGACTCCGGGGGGACCTGCTCCGTGTCGGACTGCCTCCCACTCTGCTCGGAGGCCTCCCTACCTCCCTCGGCCTGCAGCGGGCCCTCCCACCGCCTCCTGCCCCCGGACGAGTCATGCAAGTTCAACCCGGTGAATCCCGGGTACGCCTCCTGCCTCGAAAACACGCGGAAGGACCTCATCGTGGCTACCATAGCTTCTTCCCTCATTGGCTGCTTCATCATGGGGACCTTCGCCAATCTCCCTCTCGGCCTCGCCCCGGGCATGGGCTCCAACGCCTACTTCGCCTACACCGTCGTCGGCTTCCACGGCTCCGGCAACGTCTCCTACCAAAGCGCCCTCGCCGCGGTCTTCATCGAAGGGACCATCTTCCTCCTCGTCTCCGCCATCGGCCTCCGCGCCAAGCTCGCCAAACTCGTCCCCAAGCCCGTTAGAATAAGCTCCTCCGCCGGAATCGGGCTTTTCTTAGCCTTCATCGGCCTTCAAAACAACCAAGGAATCGGGCTCGTCGGGTTCAGCCCATCCACTTTAGTCACCCTCGGCGCCTGTCCAACCTCCTCCCGGGCTTCCCTGGCCCCTGTCTTAACGGCTGCTAACGGGACCGTTAGTTTATTACCCGGCGGGACGGTTTCCGGGGATATCCTCTGCCTTAGAGACAGAATGGAAAGCCCCACACTCTGGCTGGGCCTGGTGGGCTTTGTCATAATCGCCTACTGTCTGGTGAAGAATGTTAAAGGCGCTATGATATACGGCATCGTTTTCGTCACCGTGGTGTCGTGGTTTCGGAATACGAAAGTGACGGCGTTTCCAAACACGGAGGCGGGTAACTCGGCGCACGAGTATTTCAAGAAGGTGGTCGACGTTCACACCATAAAAACCACCGCGGGGGCGTTGAGCTTTAAGAATATAAACAAAGGGTATTTTTGGGAGGCCGTGGTGACTTTTTTGTACGTGGACATTCTCGACACCACCGGAACGTTGTACTCCATGGCCCGCTTCGCCGGCTTCACCGACGAGAAGGGGAATTTCGAGGGGCAATACTTCGCCTTCATGTCGGACGCCACGTCCATCGTGGTGGGGTCGCTGCTGGGGACCTCGCCGGTGACGGCGTTCATTGAATCCTCGACGGGGATACGCGAGGGCGGGAGGACCGGGTTGACGGCGCTGACGGTGGCGGCGTATTTCCTTCTGGCGTTGTTCTTCACGCCGCTGCTGGCGTCGATTCCGGCGTGGGCGGTGGGGCCGCCGTTGATTCTGGTGGGGGTTTTGATGATGAGATCGGTGGTGGAGATTGATTGGGAGGACATGAGGGAAGCGATACCAGCGTTCGTGACCCTCATTCTGATGCCGTTGACGTATTCGATCGCTTATGGGCTTATCGGTGGGATTGGGACTTACATTGTGTTGAACCTTTGGGATTGGGGGTGGGGGCTCTTGCAGCACTTTGGGGTGGTCAAAATGAAAACCACGGATGATGGGGTTCTCGTACTTCAAAATCAACCTTCTCCACAAAATCCAACTGCTAAACCACTCCAACTACAACCTTAGCATTAGCAAGGGTATGTGCTTCTGTAATAATAATTCTTCTCTACTTTTCTTACTCATACATCAATTTCACAACCTTCTACTTCTATTCTTTCTGTACCACTACCAACTATACTGTCAATACATTCCCTCTACTCTTTTTCTATCACCTTTTTTTATTTGAATCACATATTCCATCTTATTTAATATCAACAAATTAGTGAACCAGAACTTGTTTCAATACTATTTTTAATTTTACAAAAATAAAAAAATATATATTTAAAACACTTGTTACTTGTTAAAAATAATTTCGGAAAATGAATTAAGTTTTTACAACACAAATTAACAAAATTTCAAAATATCTTATTTGTGTACATAAAAAAATGTATTGACCTAATGGTAAGGTCAAGATAGATTTATGACAACTTAAATTTGATTTTAGTTGTATGTTATAATAATTTTTATTCATAAAAATATATATATATATATATATATATATATATATTAAATTTCACCCTTGCATCACCTGGGTGTGATTTTAAAAATAAGATAACGAAAATAGGAATCAAGCATTTTCTCGGTTTGGGTGGCAATTATATATGTAATAAAATCTAAAATTCTTATACTTCTTAAATATCTTCTTTCTTCATGTGGGGCCACGAATACATCTTCGTCATCCAGACATCCACCAAATCACGCAATATTTTTAGTGTCAAGCGTATATGAAATTTTGGTATTCTGGGTTCAATATCTCTATATCTATAATTTTCAATATTTTTTACTATGCCAACTTGCCTTCTTCTTTGTCAGTGGAAGAGTCGTCTTCTTCCTCACCACTCTTGGGTATGGGTGCTTGGTAATTAAAGCACTATATGAAACTAAAGTAGATTAGGGTTGTGGTAATAACGCTAGCTTCAACTCAAGTTAACATATGTATGGCTACGTTCTAAGAAACCAACACTTTCTGCCTTTTCTGTACACTGTAATAATTCTATATAGTTAATCATTTTACTTTATATATTGTATATTTTTTAAAATATTTCTAAGGTATAAAATATATTTATCTTTAATTATTTGATTATTTCTTACGAAATATTAAGAAAACTTATAAGAATATATATCAAAAGATAATTAGTGTTTCATGAATATCCCATGCCACTAGACACGTATGGATATAAAAAGATAATGACAAGAGAGGCAAATGTGAATGTGATAAATGATAGTTTGATGTAATAATTAAGAAGAAAAATGAGGAATGTCAATGTGATATTTTCTCCATTGAGATATCTAAACGTTAGAATTATTTCTAAAAACAGCTTTTAAAATTGTTTTATAAAATAGAAAAGGAAAAAAAAAAAA